TAATTAATATTAATAATAATATTTTTGTAATCTCGAGTTTAGATAAGCGAATTAATTCGATTAAAAGGAATGAAAATACTCGATTAGAGATAATACGAGATTTCTAAGTATTTATCTACCAACAAATAATCCAAATTCTCAATATGTGAAATATAATTAATTTATAAAAATACGATATTATATAGAATATTTTATATAAGAATATATAGAAATAGGTACAAAATTTTGTTTTCATCGTAGGTGGAGGTAACTCACGGGGAAGAAAAGCAGATCATAGCTCTTCCAGCTGAAAGACTGGATCGTACAAAGAAATATTACGTAACGTTCACTGTCAGGGGTGAAGCACAACACGAAACCGAAAAACCGAAATCGTCGATCAGTATCCAAAGGAATGCCAAAAGCGTTTAGAGTATCTCCAATCACGTTTGTTACTTCCTACTTCGGCGACTTGACCTACCTTTTTCTATTCGAAGCAATACCAAAAAAAAGAAAAAAAGTTTCTATACTTTTCTACACGATCCTCTATTTCATTAATCATCATATCTGCTACATCTTTGTAAATTATAATTCCTAACGAACAAAATTTCGATTCTTCTATTTCCATATGACAATTTTACCAAATAAAATAAAAAAGCAAAAAGAAAATCGAGAAACTGCCAGAGAAAAGGTCTGTCTGTATATTCGTGAATCGGATAGAAGGTATAGTACATTCTGAATAAATTCTGTATAAATCCCATCGACTTCACTGTAAAAATGTTATATAGCATAAACGTGTAAGATAGTACAAGTTGCGTCGAAATGTTCTATGCATGAGCTCTCAACTTCGCTGTTTATCAATTGCATTTATAAATAAGAAAGGAGAAAGAGTTGACAAATTTTTGTAAGATAATCTAGCTCGATTAGGCGGGGTTCGTTGAAGATCTCTTAATGTTACGCGAGTATCGCCTAAAATCGTATTCACAAACGATTTCTCAGTGTTCATAAACGCTGATCATAAAGCGATCACGAATTTATTATATATAAATAAAAGATGTCCCATTCTCGCAGAAGCTGGGACCACGATTAACGCATACACGTTCTGTATATTTGTGTAAAGGGGGCCGCTGATATGTAATTCTGTGTAAAATAAATAAAAAGAAATCACGAATCGTATAACCCAGATTATGCCAAATCCTGGCTTCGAGTGTCCGAAATCGATAAGCTGTTATCGCGTTAATCGTGACAAGCATAATAATAAATAACTCGTGCGATGGTTTTCCCAACGATATACAGTGGAAGTTACATTTTGCTGTTAAAAATTACGTATTTCTTATCGTCGAGGTAAAACTGGAGCATATTTATTTTTATTTTTATTTTTATATATTTGCTGCTTCGAAAATACCAGCTTGAGATTTTACTGATGATAAACAGGCTTTTTACACGACCCTTTAAATTGTTTATTTAATAAAAAGAAATCGAAGTATTTCAGAAAAATTGTAATAAATTATTTATTGAAATATTTATTTAATTCATTATCGATTAAATTTATCGATTAGTTCCGGTTTCGATAAATTTTAGACTGGAGATAATTAGGTATTGCATTTTACATGAGAAGTTAATTTCAAGTTATAATAGCATAAAGATCGATTATACGAAGATATAAACCCTATATTTCTTATCGACGACTCGAACTACCCCTATGAAAAAGAGATAGAAGCAACGTTATTTCAGTGACATTTTAGTAAACATGAGAATGTGAGAAATAATGCATTTTTATTGCATTTTATATCGAAGATTAATGCTGATTAATGTTACTCGAAAATGAATTGCAATTTAAATATGTTACACGATGTATGAACTCCATGTTTCTTATCGATGAGACAACCCTTTATATCCTTAGTCCATTGAATTATAGAAGAAGATAAAATTGACATTATTCCAAGGAAAATCCAGTAAATTAAAAAATATCTAAAATGCAAATAACCATTTGCAATTAATAGAATTTAACATTAATCAAAACTCTAAGAGCTATATTAAAAAGTACAGTATATATAATCGACGATTCCTATTGACAAACTTTGTACACGAAATATAATTGTTTCAAAGCAATCTCAAGAAATATACAGATACAAAAAGGATATTAAATTACAACTCGAGGACTTCTAACACAAGGATACAAACTTCACAGCACCAAGAACGATACAAAATCAACATTATCCTGAGACAACTTCGACGATGTTAAAATCACAGAAGATCACGCGTTCCCTTTGACTTGTGCACAAAAAGAACGAGATTAAATTACAAAATTTCCAGGTTCCAGGTTCCATGATGCGATTATCAGTACTCACTCGCGAGGATTCGCATTTAGAAGAACGTTCTCATATTTGGTTTAACACGAACTCGGGTAAGAACTAATATTTCTGTGGATTGTTATTAATGTTGTTCACGTTTTTAAATAGCTCACGCGTTTTACTTTGTTGTTACGTAATTATTCAAGACCGATATAATTAAGAAGAGGGAATTAATTTAGAAATTTATGTATAATGTTTTCTTTGTTTCTCAGTGAGGTATAATTGTATGATGTAGTGACTATTTCTCAGATTAAGCTTCCATTCTGTGCTATAAGAATGGAATTATTCATTATAACGATTAAATATGGGACAGGTTTATTTAACGATGTATGTAATTTTTAAGTAATATAGGTAGTTTACGTCGACAGTTTCTAAAGAGATTTATTTATAAAGACATTTTTTTACTAATATTATTTTAATATTAATTTAGATATTAAAATATTAGGTATCGAATATTAAATATTAAACACTCAACATTAAATCTTACATTAAATATTAAATGTGGCATGTAGAATGTGGAATATGGAACGTGAAATGATGTCGAGATGTGATGTTAGTGCATTGATGCTGAGGTGTTGATGTTGATGCATTGATGTCGAGGTGTTAATGTTGGTGCATTGATGCTGAGATGTTGATAATGGTGAATGATGGTGAGGTATTAATGTTGGTGCATTGATGCTGACCTGTTGGTGTTGGTGCATTGACGCTGAGGTGTTGGTGTTGGTGCATTGATGTTGACGCGTTGATGTGCTAACCTGTTAGTATTGACGTGCTAAAACGTTAGTGTTGACGTGCTAAACGTTAGTGTTGACGTGCTAAACGTTAGTGTTGACGTGCTAAACGACAGTGCTGGCGTGCTAGTGTTGATGTTGATGTTGATGTTGATTGGGTTAGATTAGGATGTTAATGACAGAATGTGTTGATGTTTTAATGTGTAGAATTGTCGATGTGTCGATGTGTCGGTGTCTTGATGTGTCGATGTGTAGATGTGTGGATGTGTGAATGTGTCGATGCGTGGATGTGTGGATGTGTCGATTTGTGGATGTGTGAATGTGTCGATGCGTGGATGTGTCGATTTGTGGATGTGTGGATGTGTTGGTGTGTTGGTGTTGGTGTTGGTGTTGATGTTGAATGCTGATTGCTGAATGTTTAATGTTAAATATTACATATTAGATATCGACTTGAACGTTAAATATTAAATACTAAATATTAAACATTAAATATTAAATATTAGATATTGTATATTAAATATTAAACATTAAATATGAAATATTAAATGTTATATATTAAATAATATTTTACACATGTTTTATTATCGTGCTAATATATACGTAGTTTTTTATAATACATATCAGTATATGAATACATGAATACGATAATGTGAATGATAATATAAAATATTACGTGGGCATATATAGTATATCAATTTGTATGCATATACGTTCGCGTGTTTAAATGTTAATGAGTAATTTTCATGACAATTATATGCAGAATTTTATTAATTTAAACTTACTTTAACACCGAAGACATTGCAATTGCATAATATTCGTGGAATTATGTAGGCACGTCTTTTTTAAATTTAAGTAGACTTTCCTGTTTTGTAATATAGACGTAAAGTGAAGAGTGATATGATACTTTTCATTGAAATTGTGTAATATCAATAAACCTCATGCTGATTAATTGAAAGTAGATATGTTATACAAGATTTAAACCGATACGACGAGTTATCTCATATTAATCTCATATTTCAGCTAAATAAACGAAATTGATTAACACTACGAGAAAAAATTCGAAATTTACTTGAATTATGAAAGATCGATCATAGACCAGGTGTTTCGGCAGGGAAGTTGAAGAAGATCGAAAACTGGAGTTAATCACTGTGACCTGTGAACGGGTTTAAATGTCACAAGGCAACGCGCAGGTAGCAGTTAGCAACCAAAAGTTCTTTTCGTCAGATCCCGTGATCACGATGCGAGCTAGAATATCGCGTAAGGGTGTCGTCATTAGGTTGTTGTATTACAGACGAATCGGCTAAACGTTATTCCCTGACTCGACCAGCAACTCGTATCGATCAGGCCCGATGACGTAGTTAAACAAACGCTTAATCGGTTCGATTCACTGAAACGTGTCCAGTAATACAGCTGCATCACCGGTGTTCCTGTCAATAATGACACCTCAGACACGGTCAACAGGAGTCAGATCGAGGTTCTCAACGATGCATAGTGAATATTCCATCGAGCAGACCAGGTCCCTGTGAGAAGCCTTCGCATGGACAAATGGCTCCAAGATAGGAAGCTTTGGCTTTTTGGCAGCACGCTGCCACTGCTACCAAGAAGGTAAACATTCCTATTTTCTTTCATAAATCTCGCCTTTCGCGCCATTTTTTCGCAAAAATTTTTTGAGTGTAATGATTAAACGCGAAAAAGAATTTTGGTATGGGGATATTTGGTTCTTTTTACGATCTAGTTTTATGAAAGTTAGTATTTCAGTATGTCAGCTTGTTATGGGCATAATAGATCCTTTAATGGTACATTTTTGGGCTGTTGAATGGATCTTCTTTTTATTTAATATTTTTCTTTTCCTTCTTTTCTATTTTTATCGACAGAAGAATATTAAATGTGGTTATGTTTGGAAATTGTAGGAAGTAAGTTGCTTTGCTATGTACGTGTGTACAGTCAGTCACGAAAGTCTTCGTGCAACCCCTAAAAAGGTCATTTTGAAGAAAACAAACAATAATTTCATATAATACTATAATTATTTATCGATACGTACGATTGTATTAAATAACCTATATTAAAATGTATGTCAGTTTGGTTCTTAACCTAAACAACGATGTATATTTTACCTAAATAACCTTATACCTAAATAACGTATCAATTTTATGGAATACGCTTTCGTATATACTTCTTAATTTTTTGGTTTCTTGAAGGAAAGTATTGCGAGTTACTTTTTTTTGAGAAGAGGAAATTTATTTTCGTTTGTTTATTCCGTCCTGGCTTCGTCGTTATTGTTGAAGTGCCATTGCAGGTTTTATTTAGAGAAAGGTAGGAAAATGTGAGGAAAAAATAGTGTGACTGGAAACTGAAAACTTATTATTTCTAGGATACACGACTTTGGCATTGAATCGAATCGATCGATATTTGTTACATAGTTTAAACACGCAAGACACATTGTATGCATTAAACGTCGTAAATAACCATTAAATGTGGTTGATGTAACAAGAGAAAGGCGAACTATTAGTACCGCCCTTAAAGTTGAATAATTTTCTTGGTACAACGTAGAATTTTCCATCTAAACTTTTTCCCCGAACTAACTCCTTACTAAAATGTCAAATGGTGATGCTTGATTGTTCTAAAGACGTTGCTTTCAGTATGCCAATTATCGTCATTATTGCGAACTAGATATCGATGAGAATGACTATTTAATTCGTAGCGGAAGAAAGGTTAAATTAAAAGAATAATATAAAATATAAAACATACGATGCAAAATTTAATAAATTTTAAATCATTACCGAGTAATATTTTGTGCAATTATAGTGATATTTCTATGATAAATTCCATTCTTTTCTAATTACCAAAAACCCTATTAAAATAAATTTAAAATTACACGTTCAGAATTTTCCATTACTACGTGTGTTATAAATAAATCGTTTATATCCTTCTAAATTAAATAGCGAAATGAGTATAGCGATAGTACAATATAGTATAATGTAGTATACTATAGTAAGATACAACATGATGATAATAATTATTGATGAAACAAGTTATACAATAATAATAACAATTTCTTCAAACGCCATTTAAATCTACCGCCCTATGGGTAATAGAATGTCCAAAAACGCTGACGCCATTGGCGCATCATTAAGTTATGGGTCTTCTATCTATTTAATAAATCCCTGGTACGTATATGTAAGTAATCGATAAACGCGTCTCCTCCGAGCATAAATCGTCCTTCCGTGTCTCTTAAGCGAAATTGATAAAGTTCGGTAAACTCACGAGGTAAGTTGACTTCCGTCGTTTCGATTTTATACCAAAAACAATCCAACCTGGTTCACGGTCGTCATTTAAACATAGACAATATGGCAGCTAGATATCGATTGTCAATAATCAAGAGTTCAACAACAACGTAAAGTAGACTTTCAGCAGGTTTAGTAGCGCTCGGTATGTTCAACGACAAGGGTGTACCAGCATCGAAATCCAATGAACACTATTCTCGAATTCCTGTACGTATAAAAGCCAGAAATTTATTCATTCGATGCACGAAATAATCGATCAGATAAACACGTATCCACCTGTGAAAGAAACATTACATGGTAAGAAGTTTTTCCAATGACGAAATTTAACTACTCGCAATAATAGGAATTAGTGAATTTTTATTTCCACAATTTGCTGCACAAGAATCTTACCACAAATCGAATATCTGTTTCGACGTCAATGAGTTCGTTTCGTTATTAGAACAGGCTCGATTATTATCGAGTTCGAAGTGTTGCATTATCAATCAGTACGAACCACTTTTGTATCGTAATGAAGGCTACAGTAAATTTTTAATGGAAACAAAATACGTGTCATTTTCTATGAGTTACCCCTATCGATTTCAATTATAGGATTCGTATAACGATAGACGTACGAAACAAGCTTTGCTTTACGTTCGATTCATAATAAAAAATACATTTCGAGTGGATAGAATTCGTAGTCACAGACGGATAGGATCGACTGATAAATTTAATGCGACGCGAAAAAAGGTCAAAACAATCATGCGGCTCCCTCTGGAAGTTAATTGTGAAGTATTCCAGGCATTCTAAATCAATTCTATTACTTTTCACTCGACGGTAACACGCAAGTAGTTTGATGAGAATAATAGCAACGGTACTCACTTTATTATCGTTCAAGTAGACCACGCTTGACGACGTCATTTATACTGACGTAATTTACTTAACGGAAATGATTTCTTCAAACGCAACGTTCCTTGACATTTACCGAAGGGTAACTGATTCCACATATTCTATGCAACAGTCGAGATTTTAAGGACGATAATGACTCGTCCTTCATTATCGATCGAAGTTGATAGATTTTCAGTTCGACTCGTGAAATTAGTCGATTCAGTACGATCTAACTGGAGGACCGTTGCAACGTGTTAAGTAACACCGTTAACCTTTTGATGGCAGCGATGCTATTTCTGCCGATTTAACGTCGATCCCATCTTAAATATTTATTAATAGTGCCGCAAAATTGTCAAATAACCGGAACTACTGATTTTGGCAACCCTAAAAATACACGAATATGCTGATGAACTATCTCAACCTGCCTCGATATGGTCAACGATCTAAGTTTCGCATATTATCGGCAGTGTGTGCCACTTTGGTAAGCCTCTGAGTTTTCTTTAAATTTTTAAATTAATGAAGATTTGAATTATATTAAAATTTTCTTCCCTTAAAATTCGATACGGTTCGAAATCAAAATGAGGTTATCCTCAAAGGAGACTTTCAAACAGTGAAACATTTGATCGTACAAAAATAGTAATATATGTAAATTCTTGGTATATATTTTAGTTCTCTTCTACGTGTATTTTATTGCAAAAATGAGAAATTTTTCCATCATGGATTCCCATTGTGAGTTACCGATATCTCATCCATCACTTGGTTAACCATAAAAATGAACGAGTCGTAAGTGAAATAAAGGAGTGAAGTGTCTGAAACACTAAACATCATGGAACATGAAGTAGAAGAAGAAAATATTTTCGACTATTCGTTTACTATACGGTATAACACAAAGACATCTTTTCGACATGAAATTTTTAATGCAACGTGGTCAGTATGACGCAATCTGAGAGCGCCTGCGCTGCAGGTTCCGATTCAAATAAAGCGAAACAGGGGAGCTTGACCCTTGGTCATCGTCGAGAATACAGTCTGGTCCGCAGCCTTTATAGCGATAGCATGCTCTTTACGCAGCAGTTCACCTCCTTGCCATGCCTCGCCAAGTATAAAAAGTGGGTACAAGCCCAAAAATTTCGCTGAAACTTTGATTTTTGTCGTGCGTCATTTTGGCATTTTATCGTATTTACAAACTGCACGTAATTTAGATTACCACTGCTTACTCAAATTCAATTGCATTTATAATCTACTTTTCCTTATTTCAATCACCTTGGAACGATAATCTAAGATTATGATGTCAGAATAAAAATGCCATTCATTCTAAAATAGAGACACGTATATTTAGTTTGTACTGCAAAAAGACTGGTTTTCCTAGTTCCAAACGTTAAGATTATAGATCGTTATTAATATTAATTAATAATTTTCGAACCTTTCTCTTTCAGTGTTTGTGTTGTCTAATTTCAGTGTGTATTACATTCTGCAACCAATTGTTGATTACGTGCTACATAGTTGATCCATAAATGACACAAAGAATGCATTCCATGAATTACGATTGTCATTGCACTTCAATGGGAACACGAGTATATTCGCGTGTCGCGGCATACGAAGATAACATCCGTATCGTACTCATAACTGTGTCACATGGTTTGATAGAGGGCTGCCGGCCTGTCTCTCCACCGAAACTGTCTATGTTCGAATGTCTCTTCCTATTTCATAACTTCTTTGATAATAATCTTATAAAATTACCAATTTCAAATTTCAAATTCACAATAAAGTAATCAAAATAAGACTTTGCAAAAAAGCTGAAATTAAAAACAGAAAGAAAGGAATATTATTGATTATACACATATACAATCAACGACTACAGCGTTACTTATCGTCGTTGATCTTATTGCTGTTATTAAATACGATATCGTAGAGTTATATACACGTATATGTATAAGATCATATCTCATGACTAATTCTAGAAAGTGGTTGTTATTTATGTAAGAAATCACCTTTTTTTGTAGGTCACGCGCGCCGAGCAAGGCGATGGAAAGGTACGAACGACTGGCGCGACTTGGGGAGGGTAGCTATGGTGTAGTCTTCCAGTGTAGAGATCGGCAAACTGGAAAATTGGTAGCTGTAAAAAAGTTCCAACAAACCGAAGATGATCCTCTTATACGCAAAATCGCGCTACGTGAAATACGACTCCTTAAGGTCAGTGACTACTCTGAGAGATACATTAAATGCATGTACTTAGATATATACTAGCAGTTTAATGTACAGAGGTTAGACATACAAAAAATGCAACTGTGTTTCAATAAAAATGTACATTTAATACAACTAGATATTTTCTTCTTTCACTGCATGCCAACAGTCATTATTGTTCGACTTATCGTTACTACGTGACTTATCGTAGTATATCACGTTACTTGATGCAGTCGTCCTAAAATGTCTCTGTCACTCGTTGTAAACACTAGCGCCACTCGAAGATACAGATATCGATATTTATCAAGGTGGTACGAGTGTGGTACGAGTATACCGTGTTTTGGATAATAATGTAACTTGGATAGGAGGAAAATGGAAGTCGTATATTGTCACAGTTGACATTCAATGTAATAGATTTCTTTTCTCTATTTACAAAAACAACAAGAGAAAAGAATTGTCATGTATTCTAAAGAGTTTATTAACTATAAGAAGAAAAAAGCTTGTGCCTCTAGTTTCTCCTCTTTCCAGCAAGATTCTAACCCTTTGCATATATACTTCCAGGTGAATAACCTCTTACAACCTTAAAACGCTAAAGCTCGCACTAACTATCACCAAATTAAGAAAGTTTTGCCTGAAAAATATCGAGAATCCTTTAAAAGCATTATTGGGTTCAAGTAGGATATAGACGACGGACGTTTGATAGATTTATACGAAAGAAAAATTGGATCAAGTTATGGAAGGAAAATTCGTGATCTTACACAACAATATAGCTGTATAAATTCACCGTTGACTGCAAGAAGTGGCCAACGGTCAATAACGTGGCGGTCAATATCTTAGCGTGTTCTCCTCTCGGCGACCTAGCCTTATCGAAATAATCGGAGGGTTTCCTCCCAAACATATGCACATTCAAACGAGCCTCTACTCTGATCTGACATTTCGCTTCAAGGATATTTTCCTTCGTGCACACTGTAAATCCGGGGCGTGATGTTAATGATTTCCTTTCCACGCGAATTTCTGATCGCGAAACCTAACTAGCCGAACAGGAAGATTTTATTCAAGCCTTTTCCTTATTGGGGTCATATAATTTTTGTCCTTCCTACCTTTGTCGAACTGCTTTTTTATTATTTTAATAACAGATTGCAGTTCTGAAGATAGCTGACGTTTATATTGAAGTTATTATTTAATGAATAGTTAGCATTTAATAATGTTTGTATTAGAAAATTTGTTCTGATATAGAGAATTATAAATATTTAATTGCAAGCATATGGGATTTGCAGAATCTCAAACATCCGAATCTGGTCAATCTTTTGGAGGTGTTCAGGCGGAAACGAAAGTTACACCTAGTCTTCGAATACTGCGAATACACGTTACTAAATGAGATGGAGAGATATCCGAGCGGCTGTCCGGAGATCACCACAAAACAGCTTACTTGGCAAATTCTACAGGGTGTCGCATATTGTCATCGATTGGGATGTGTTCACAGAGATGTAAAACCCGAAAACATTTTAATCACAGCTGATGGTGTGGTAAAATTGTGTGATTTTGGTTTCGCGCGAATGCTCAGTCCTGGTGAAAATTACACGGAATACGTTGCAACCAGGTGGTACAGAGCACCTGAGCTTCTGGTAATTTCTCTTTACAATATAATAATGTTTTCCCTTATATTTTCTAAGATTATATTTAGTATTTAATATTAAAGTATATACATAAAGTTGTACATAAATAATATACCTTATTGATCAAATTATTAATGATAAAACTCATTTTTATTTTTTTATGTTTTTAGATTTAGGTAATAACTTAAGTTATACGAATTAAATTATCTTTAATGAAACTAGCAATAATATATTATGAGACTGTATTCTCCAACAGGTCGGAGATACCCAATATGGTACACCAGTCGATGTGTGGGCAATTGGTTGTGTTTTCGCAGAATTAATACGTGGAGAAGCACTGTGGCCGGGAAAATCGGATGTGGATCAGTTGTATTTAATTCGAAGAACTATTGGTGACTTATTATCGAGGCATATGGCTATTTTTCAACAAAACGAATTTTTCGCTGGTATCACTTTACCGACACCTCAAACTCTTACTCCCCTCGAATCTGCTCTACCACATAGAGGCAATATAACGCTACAGGTAAATATTTTAATCACTTTTTCCATATTAAATGAAGTTCTACTTCTAAATACATGATCACAGAAATGTTTAAAATAATTTTATTCGTTTGATCTAACAGCTTGACTTTCTCAAAAAATGTTTGGACAAAGATCCTGATGAAAGATGGTCTTGTGAACAACTACTACAACACTCTTATTTTGAGAACTTTCATTTTAAAATGCCCGAAGCTGAAATAGAGGAATTTGAGAAGCTTAAAAAATATCGGGATCGATCACGAGTATGTACTGTATGTAATTGTAAGATTATAATCATTAATGGATGAGATAAAAAAATATAAAGTTAAGACCAAGTTATAAAATTTATGAATATATTCTATGATATTTAAATTATGCGAATATATCTATCATATTTTAGAATAGTAATTACAGTCAAATGGTATTACCCCAACTTCCTAAAGCTGGTGCTTCAGTACATAGTCAAAATGAAAATCGGCCGAAAAGCTCCTCCATGCATCATCAGCAGGATTTTGATCATCTGCCAACTATCAAAGGTTGTAATTAGGCTCCTCTGTGATTGTAATATACTTATATATATATATTTATTTATCTACTTATTTAAACTTTATAAACTTTCATTATAAACTAATAACTTGTTAATATATTTTATTTTTATTCAGCACGTTTGTTTTTTAACATACAAGAAGATTTTGTTTAATTACCATGATTTTCATATCATATATACATATTTATTGTATGTATATTACATGAATTCATCAAATAAAATTTTCTACAAAATGATTTACAAAAGTTAATTGTAAACCATACCTTCCTACATAAATTTATATTTTTTAGAATTCTCCAACCATTGTCATCCTAATTTATGAAATTTATTACACATTATTACATATTGCATAACTATAATAGTTTTTATCTATCTATATTTAAAATATCGATAGGTCACAATAAAAGGATATTAATGCTTTTCTTCTTTTGGTATATGCATATGTATTTTTGATGTATCTTATACTAAACAACACATACACTAGCAAGCCAATTAAAAAATAACAACACTCCAATTATTTCTCTACCAATTTTTTATTGAATTCGTAAAAGATAAAAACGTCTGCTCCTTCCTCTCATTAACTGAATGTAATTATCAAGTTACAGAAATTCTATTAAAATAGAGATATATATTATGCAGCAAATTTTATGAATATAGTACATTTCCATTTCAGTCACAGAAATTTTTATTAATGTATAATTAATCACAAATGAGATATTTTAATAAAAATGTGTGGGAATACATACTTTACTTACCAAATTAAAGTAATATTTATGATGATGTAAGTTTTATTGCATTACTAATTTTGAATATGTATTCTTACAATAAATATACCTTACTTCAGATATCATTGTAACTACAGAGAAATTTGAAGCGTATGGTATTATTCTAATATTCTACAACTGGCAATTCAGTCTATTGTCAAAATATAGATCAGAAAGCTTCTCCATGCATCATTTGTAGAATTTTGATTATCTATTAACTATTAAAGATTGTAATTAGGCTCCTTTGTAATTGTAATATTTTTATATATAAAAATCAATACTCATTAATATACTATTTAGCATGTTTATTTTTTAACATACAAGGAAATTTTGTTTAATTGAAATATGATTTCTATATCATATATCCATATTTATTGTACATGTATATTATACATACATTACACAATAAAATTTTCTACAAAATTTTCAAAGATTAGTTATGAAATATATATTTTTAACTAAATTTATATCTTTTTGAATTCTTCAATCACTATGATGCCTGGTATTTTGCTACAAAAAAAATTAAATATTTTTAATTTATAAATACAAACTAGTTTCAAATTTATTGCACATTATTAAATATTATACAATTAAAATAATATTTTATGTAATACCTTCTCTTTTCCTTTTATTTTCTTCAATGGCCAATTTTGTACGCTCCACACGATCATAATAATTTTTCTTATAAGTTGATATATTTGAAGCTATCATAAATGGTGAAGCAATAACAGTCAGAATGTGATTCAAAACAATAATCTGTATCATTTTTTATTGGATTTATTACAGACAGAAATGTCCACTGCTTCTTTTGTACTAAATATGATTATCTGGTTGAAAAAAATGCTAAGAAAACGAATGCATATATTATATAGTTATATACTTTATAAGTATAATATTTATTTCAGTATCACTTACAGACTTTTTTGACTTTGTGTAATTAATCGCAAATATTAGCAGATAACTGTTAACGATTACAAGTTATAATAATAAACAATCGTAGTACGGACAATGCGACCATGCATGCTCATGAACAGTGCTACCAATCGTGCAAAACTACAGAACATTTCTGCTACTTTTCTTCGAGAATGACACGAACCGTACTTCACGGTTGGTATCTTATGATACCAAATATGTGCGAGTATGGAAGAAGGTGTGATTGCACTATCCACACGTCATTCCCCATAACTTGTTTTTTTACAAAAGTTCTGCACGCCTGACAGTACTGCATATAGATGTATGTTAATTTCATTGGTTGCTCTAAGTCTATATGATATATATGAATTTACTACAAATTTTATTTTTTCTAATTTAATTTGAGAATTGTTGGTACTCAATTATTAATTGTAACTTTATAATTAAGTTATGTAATTGAAATAAAAACAAAATATTTTAAATCAAATATTTAGATGATTTTAACATAAGGTGTCAGTTAAATACGTCGTAATAAAAAGGCGGGAAAATTCCGTAACAATGTCCTTTAATTATAATTTGTCAGTGTGAGGTATAAAATTATGAAACCTATTCTATATTTTTATTTAGTGTTAATTTCATAATGTTATTGATAATTTAAAGTTGAAAAAAGTATTTTTTTCCAATCGTAATATGTTTTACTTCAATTATATAATGTAATATTCATAAATACGTGTAATGTAAACGTCAGTTTATTGTGTAATTCGAATCACAATGTCGATATAATTCGAAGCTTTCAAGATTATGAAGATTTGAATTATTTCATATATCATTATATACAAATTAGCCTGGAACTCATGAAAGTCTTAAGAAGTTCTGAATCTTTCTATGTTTATACGACTTTAGAATCTTATGATTTACTAAATATTTCAAATATTTGAAGAATTCTAGGTTTCGAATTCTATTCGTAGTGATTAAAATTTTCTCGAATATAACTAACTTGAAGTGTTTCAAATTCCATCAATATCAGTAAATATGCCTGATGAAAAATTAATAAAAACGGTACAAAGTACTTTCTCTTTATATGGACTTGTACTTTCGAGGTATATACATTTTTAATATATCATATTATTAAACTATTAAATTTTATTTTTATTTTATAATTCCTAAGCAAGAAAAATATGTTATTGTTTAGGAAACTTAGTATCTCATTAAGTAAGGAACTCCTTAATGTAGAAGAAGATGAACGGGAAAGTTGGCTTACACAAATAGTGGAACAAGTCTTGGCACAAAATTTAGTTGATCCACATGTAACTGTTGAAAATCTGAGTACAGCAATAAAGGAATGTATAAAACCCAATACATTGCAAGAAACAGAAACAATAGTAAATGTTATAAATGCATTTGATGTGCCTAGAATCAAATATGACTTATACAAGAAAAAATTTCTTTTGGAAAATATAACACCAGATTTATATGCTGAAGCACAATACAAATCAACTATTTTTAAAGATAGATTTGAGTTACTTTGGTATAGAACTTTAAGACATCAATTATTTACTCCTCCAAAACTTGGTGAAAGAAAAGAAACTTGGATTGAATTAGTACCAATTGAACATCTGTTAAGTGAAAGTAAAACAGGAAATGTTTATGTAATGGGTCTTCTAACTCAATTAACAGAGGGTCAGTACTATTTAGAAGATACAGGTGGATCTATAAAAGTTAATCTACAGAAAGCAATATCCTTTTAAAACTTAAAAAAAATAACTATGAACATAATTTTTCGATATAGAATGTTATTATGTTAACATGAATATTTTCCTTATGTCTGTATACAATTTTCAAGATGGTTTGGTCATGGACTCTTCTATTGTAATAGCTAATGGGGATTTCCAAGATGGTATTTTAAACGTGGAAAATTTAGGTTTTCCACCAGCAGAATCATCTAGCAATGCACGAGTAGATTTTGGCAATGCTAATACATTTGGTGGTTCACATAATCTTTCTTTAAAACTTTCTGAAAAACTAAAGAGTTATGAAGAAAGGAATAAAGATGGAATGATTATTTTTATATCTGAGATGTGGTTAGATGATGCAGTTGTTTTACACAAATTTAGAACTATGTTAGAAGGATATTCTGAATATCCACCTATAGCTTTTGTTTTATGTGGACATTTTTTAAGTTTTCCTGTAAATATATCAAGTGGTCAAAAATTGGAAGAGGGGCTTAAAGCTCTTGCTGATATAATAATGCTCTATCCAGATATACAACAAGTTTCCAAATTTATTTTTGTACCTGCACTAAATGATATTGGATCTCCGAAGATTTTGCCGAGATCTCCACTTCCGAAGCATCTCACAGAAGATTTTGAAAAAAATATACCTGGAGCAATATTTACAACTAATCCATGTAGAATTCAGTATTGTACAAAAGAAATTGTAATATTAAGGGAAGATATTTTGACAAAGATGTGTAGGAATACACTTCACTTTCCAAATGAAGGCAATATTTATGATCATGTAAGTTTTATTACTAATTTTGTGTATATGTTTTTAAAATTTTATATTATTTTATTGTTATAAAATTTTTCAGTATGCTAAATCAATTATTTGTCAATCTCATTTGACTCCTTTAAGTCTTTCGGTGATACCAATATATTGGAAGTACAATCAAGCATTACAAATATATCCTACTCCGGATCTCATTGTAGCTGCAGATAAATTTGAAGCGTATGAAAGTATTTACTCTAACTGTCATATAATTAACCCTGGATTATTTCCAAAGAACGATCATTCGTTTAAAGTATATGTTCCGGCATTAAATTTAATTGAACATTGTGCTATTCCCAAAGATATAGATGGTGTTTGAACATAAATAGCTTTGGAGTTTGAAAATAAATGAAATATCATCAAATAAAATATTATTGTAAACGTTATTTCGTCTTTGAATTTCAATAATTGTAATATTTTGCATTCTTCTATATATAGTTGCATACCTATTTTAAACAGTATTTATTTTCACATCCAAATTCTCATTAATTTTACAATATCTCAAGAATTACTCGCATTCAGTTTATAATTTAATCTACAATAAACTTCACTACTAAAATGAGACCATATTAAATTAAATTTGATTATCGAAAATAACTTAATTATTCATTGAGAATACAGGATAATTTCTTACGTTTTTCATAACCAGTAATATAATAAAAGAAAATTGAAGGACGACTGACTAATGAATCCTTATGATCGAATATATTTAATATTATCAACATAATACATTTCAGAGAAATTTAACACGCTTCTTATTTCTCTCTCAGATTGACTAACAAAGTTGTATATCAGACTTTCTATGTGGGACACAGGAAGTACGCGTTTATTTCATTTTTTTTTTTTTTTTCATTTTTTTCTTATCGATTTATATAAATAGATACATACAATATTAAACACATGTGTTTCTACCTCTTCGCAATGTACATAACAATATTACAGGTACAGACTGGGCCCCGGCATATCTCAATTCACTGCGCTGGAAGCATAAGTCAATTACTGGCCGTTTAATCAAACATCAGTATAAGGATCGTAACTTTGTAGAACAACGCATAACATATGAGATGCAATAATAAAACGCGATAGTACGATTCGTAAACGTTACAATTTTGTATTAATAACAAGCTGAACTGCTACCGACAATATCAGCTATACAAAAGTTAAAGAAAACATATGTAGTTATGTAAATATAATAATTAAGACACAATTTTTATTTAGCAAATTTTTCGATAGAAACATTATTTCTTATTATTTAAATCGGTCTCTTTCTCTAGCACACAACTTTCACTCTCATCCTACACACACATATATATGCTCTTTCGTCCTTTCTGTACACTATATAATTTCAGCAATCGTATACGAATTACGATTACTGCAAAAATTTGTTTCTTAATGCTCCAAATATTGGAAGCTAAGTATCATATCGACATAACGAACAAACTTTCAATCGTGGCAAGCGAATGCTAAACTTTTATTTCTCAAACATTCGATTAGGGTGTGAGCATTAAAGTGTTAGCAAAAACAGAGATTAATAATTAATATGTATAATTGTGAACAGTAAGGGCTACGTGCACTTACTCATCAAAATCTTTACAGTGTAAAATATTACAGTGCCGCCATATAAAAAAAAGAAGAACGCGCTTATATCTATTGCACATCCTTAAATCTTTATATTCTCCGATGTCCGTACCCCCTTCAATCTCAACTATATCATAATACAGAATAATACATAATAGTTTATGTACCAGTGCTTTCTTCGTGTAACTATGTACAGGTGTATAAGTTTAGCTATTAGAGTTACAATTTCAGTCGACGGACGGTGTAACGGTCCTTCAGACTCCATGTCTCACGAACTCTCTTTCTTTGCGTGTAATTCTCCTGAAAAGTAAATAATTAAGTCAAAATAAGTAATTAAAATAATTAAGTCTGAATAATTATCTGCAATTCTCTATATCTTCAATATAATTTACTGTTTAATGATTTGTAATATTTTATTGCTATTTAAATTAATTAAAAATACTGATTCCAAAATTAGAAGTTTATTAATAATATATGATTTTTTTTTCTTAATTAAATGCAGATCTTTATACCAAGTACTTCCTTTTCTAATTAAATATACTTTTTACAAATTATTGGATACATTTTTTAATTACTTGGAACAGGAAAATATTGATATTAATTCAGACAATTTTTGTTTAAATTAAAAATGAATATCTTGGTTACCACTAATATACTACCTACTTTCTCTTTGATATCTTCGACAAGCTTGATTCCTTTCTTCCGCGTCGAAGTACCATAGAGTGATTGCGTATCTGGTTTTGTATGCTGGTTGAACTTCGTGCGGATTTCTCCTGTCGGACCAAAAGAACAGTATTCTGTCGAAGAGAGGCTCGATATCTGCCACTTGATCACGCCAGCCTTCTGGGAATATCCTCAAGAGACCGCCATTATTCTATAAACGCAAAAATTAAACATAAAGTATTATAATATAATATAACTTAATACTAGAATATTATTGACTGCTACCAGACACTTGTAAATATGTAGTTAGTATATAATTTTACATATTTGTAAAAATTGAAACTTAACCGATTTAAACGGTTCTGAATTTTGACTTGCATGGACAGTCGCCTAATGGCATTGCTAATGTAACTTGACCTAACCTAAGCTGCCGATTAAATATGATTAGGATAGAGGTTAGGTTGGTCTAATATCATGGCTGCTATTATATGGCTACCCATGTCGTAATTCACAATCATTGAAATCAGTAAATTACGTTAATCGCTAAATTGCAAATTTACTTTGTAGTATTATTTATTACTCAAAACTAAACTAATTACTTATAACTGTTTGGCAATGGTCGATCATATAAACTGAAATTAAAAATCAGTGAGATCAGTGAAGTTTAGTTTTTAAGTTCACCCGTTATATAGAGTGATTCGTTTGCTAATGGACTCAATTATACCGCCTATTCAGGAAACTTTACACTTAAAACTTTACAGCTCATACACAATTGCCCACAGACATTGTTGCACACATTCGTTAGATTATTGCATAAAAACACAGAATCCCTGGGATGTTTAGCGGTGTTTAATCTTTGAATCCATTATTGAGAAAATCACTCTATAAAAATGGTGAATGTTCTTCCAAACTATACACACCCCCGCCCGATCGGTGTCAAGTTGTAAGGAGGAGGAATAGATCCAAAGCGTAAAATATTATTTTCGGGAAATTATTAATTTTTTAAGATATTAAGGATAAGTTTTTCGCACCATCTATAGAAATCTATCTATATATACGAGGTTAGAATGACCGGTTTCTTTGTAATAGTAACCATCGCCAAATGTCGCGTAATTGATGACGCGCACTATCTGTCCTCGACTCCTATAGGGTGTCCAATTAAAAATTCATCTGTCCTTTTCTTCTAGCTCTATTATACAATTTTTAAATAATAGCAGATTTGAGTTAGGTCTGGTTATATTTTTATGGTGGAGGTGTGAATGTACACGCGTTCAAGTTTACCTAAAAAAAAGATGGGTAGATTTTAAATAGGACACCCTATAGAAACTGACGCCAGATGTGAGTGCGTGTCATCAGATGTAGAAATATTAATATTCCGGAAAATATTCATTCCTCGAAAACAATATTCTACATTTAATATCTATCCATCCTCTCCCTCATTCTCCTTTGAAAAATTTGGTGCCGATCAGAAATGCGTGCAGGTTGAAATAACATTCTAATTTTCAAAATCCAATGAGTAAACTTGTCAATGAATCGCTCATCCTCCTTCAATGAAACGAATTCTAAATATAGTGCACATAGTAATATTTTATATTATTTAACACATCGCCATGAGAAAGCCTCTAGTACACACGTATGTACATGTATCCAAATCTAGTTACGTCGATAAAGTAGAGCTCTTACAAAGTTTCTCAAATTCATAAATTCATTCACAAAAGCGACATTCTAACGCGTTTGAAGATAAGAGAGTGCCAGATCAGAACTTATTCGAGAAGCAGTAAACGAACAAGTTTTACTCGAGTTTATCGAGTTCCTCTCTTATTACTTTCTTATTCGATGGACGTATTCACGCACGATTTAACGTAGAAGACGCACGAGAGATATTCTGCATCCGGTGCTTTTGTATTTTCCAAAGCAGCACATGTTTAAACAGTTCTCATTTTTCGTGTAGGTCAACGTAAACATTGCTCATAGGATATTCTCGCGTGAGTGCAAGACGGCAGCGTCATACGTGGGACAACTCACGTAGACCCCGGGCGCCCTTCGTGCTCCGCTGCTTACCCTTTCCCAGAGTGTCCTTACTTTTAAAACAACGTTCATGGTCGAGCGTGCAGGGTGAACGAGACATAACAAGGCAAATATGGGAATACAGGTTGTATCGAATACCACGTTTGCATTATTTTATGCCATTGTAATTTACATGAACAGTGATTAACATCGAAATCGATAAGCGAATAGTTGGATTTTTGATTTCTACTTTGCATGAATTTCAAAAATATTTATCATTATACATTCAATTGTGACACGAGTTCTGACTGATCTAATGATACATTGACGTTTTATTTTTTACATCTACAGTTTAGAACAATTTATGACAAAAATCTGATAGGCTAGTAGTACACGAGTAGTAGAAAACCACGTTGATAATTCCATTTTAATTACAGGTGATAAATTACGAATAGAGCAGTTGTGCTCCTCTGTCTACTTGATATTCGTGACTAAACGAAAGTGGAAATTTTCGAAGGATTAAGTATTTTACGAAATCAACGAAGCGAAGGGAAAGTTCGTGAAAACATCGACAAACAGACGACCTATAAAGGCATCTATACCTCAAAGGAAATTAGCTTTCAATGTTATCCAACTATTTGAATAACTACGATTCTATGTCTTTTCTATAAAAATCGTTTATAAACTAGAGATAATCCGTGATAATTAAGAAAGGTGCAGAAACTTAACGATATTTTGAATACTACTCCTGACAAAAGGTCTTCGACCAAATACTTATTCTTTAATATTTTTTCCTCGATAACAGACAAAAATGAAAATTTCTTTTGCGTGCTTACTTCGTTCCAGTTTTCTATTTATATTACAGCACTTTACACCTAGAACATACGGCAATTTTAGATAATTTCAGTACAATTTTAGCATCGCGAATGACCGAAAGCCTTTTGTCAATGTTGGTAAATTGTTTTCAATCTAAGTTCCATATTTCTGAAATTTCAGCGATCCAAATTCCATTCACATCGTGATGGAAGACATTCCACAGGATAAATAGGAAAAGGTAGAACAGAAGAACTG